CAGGACCAAGGCAGAAGGGGTGGGGGTGACTTGTAAGAGGACATCGAGAGGACGGTGAGTCTCAGGCAGCCCTGGCTCCCCTGCAGTCCAGCCCGAAACGGGGCTGAAGAGCTCCCTCCTACCCCAGACCCTTACTCTCCCATTCAACCTGATCCCGGGGAGACCCTGGCTTCAGATACAGGCCCGAGACCCTGGAGGGCTGGGCCAGGGGCCAGGCTCAGTGCTCCACAGCATTAGCACACATTGTTCTCACCAGAACCCTCAGAAAAAAGCCACTTGGCCCCGTCTCCTCCATCTCCCACACGGGGAAACTGAGGCTCAGCAAGAGGAGGCAACTAGCCCCAACATTCCCACAGTCGGGACTTGGCAGAGTGAGCATGCTCATCCTGTCTGTCTGGCTCCTGTTCGACTATATCACAGCCCTTCTCAAATCCCTGCTCGGTGTCTGGGAGCTGGGAGCCCTCGAATAAGCCTTGGTTTTCTCATCCATTAAATGGGGATAATATTGACATAGTTGTTTTTCATGAGTGTCTGTCCCTTGCTGAGAGCTGAGTGGGGAGGACTCCCAGAAGGAAGAGAGGTACAGAAGCCCTGGCTGCCCGAAGCAGGATGGGGCCATGAGAAAACTCCTTAGCTGGGAGGCAGAAGTGCCTGGTGGCCATGGCTGACCCATGGCCCCTCTCTGGGCCTCAGTTTATCCATCTGTAAAATGGGAGTGGGACTGGTCGCTCTGATATTTTCAGGTCCTGGCCTTCTAATGAATTCTTAGAGACAAAAGAGCTGTTCCCCGAGAGGTCAGCGCTGCCAGGCTTTCCCGAGCTCGGGTTTCAAAGATCCTCTGCTCAGCTGGCCCGCAGACAAAGTGCCCCAGTGGGTGCACGAGACCTGGAGCCTCTGGGGCAGGAGATACTCAATTCCACCAGCTGGAGCCAAGTTTCCTAGGAGGCTGGTCTCCTCTCCTCTGCCACGCACCCCACCCCTTTCCCTGGCTGACCACTGGGTGAGGGGCCACCTGTCTGTGCCCCACGGGCTCAGCACCTCCTCCCTCCCACAGGCTTCCCAGGGGTCCCCCCAGGCGGGCACGGTACCGCTGGGGTGGATGAGTATCTCCACCGGCCGGTCGAAGGTGTGCCTGTTGGCCAAGGTGATGATTATGCTCTTGGCCGAGCATGCGGACGGGGCGGCGTCGGCTCGAATCTCGTGGGTCGGACTCTCTACTCCTGAGTGGCACAGAAAGGCGGGTTAGGCTCAGGAGCCCTGAGAGAGACAGGGGCTTTGTGGGGGACACAGATGCAAGCCAGAGATGACACTCCTGCCCATCAGGGGCGCCTGCCTGGCTGGGTAGCCATGGACAGGTCTCCTCAATTTCCCCATCTGCAAAGTGGGGACCCGGTGGTGGGGAGTCAAAGGAATTGCCTCCCATGGAGGCACATAAGACAGAAGATGCTCAACGCTCGATCGGTGGGCACCCCATAAACACCTCTCAGGCTGGAATGCCATGCTGCTCTGACAACACACTTGTTGGCAAGAAACCACAGCCTTTTAAAGACTTGAGTGGGCTGGAAAGAGGAACTGTCAGAACAATGGCTCCAACTCTGGCTGCAGGTTAGAATGGCCTGGGGCCTTCTGAATAGCCAATACCCAAGGCATAGCCCAGACCAAGTGCCCCAGAAGCTCGGGCGGGAGATGGGTGGCAGGATTCTGGAAGATCCCTGGTGATTCCGCTGTGCGGGTGAGAAGCAGGAAGCGGCTCTATGGCTGAACCGTTGGGAGGGGACCAGGACCCACCCGCGCCATGCACATTCCCCAGGAAGCCATAGCGGTGGGGTGGACAGCCTGGAAGGCTCATTGGGAGGGGCTCATCTGTGGCTGGGGAGCAGGAAATGGGAATCCGTGCAGCTCCAGGTACTTCAGGATGTCCCCCATCTGGGCCTGTCACACCCCCCACCCTCCCCTTACTCTCTGCCCTGGGCAGCTTTGGGCCGGGGCCCTCCCCAGCCTGGGGCCTCCAGTCTTCCCGGCGCCTACCTGGGTCTGGGCAGCTCCCTCTCACCTGCGAGCAGGCATGGCCCACGGATCTCCAGCTGGAAGTTGAACTCATATTCCATGGGGTTGGATACATCCATGTCCAGAAGAGTTGCCAGGCACAGCTTGTTCCAGGAGTCCAGGGCCCGGGCGCCAAAGCAATGCCTGTCTTTGCTGGGAAGGGGGCCGAGAGGAGGAGGAGGAGGAGGAGGAGGAGGAGGAGGAGGGGGAGGAGGCAGGACCTTCAAGACGCGAGGAGCCTGGGGTGCCTCCCGGGCACGGAGAGAATGCATACAGCTCCACAGTCAGGGTTCACACTGTGTCAGGGAGCGAACCACGGAATCGTGCGCTTGAAAACAGCTCAGATGGTACATTGTGCATGATGTATGTGGTTCCCACAATGAATCCATAATATTTTGAGGACCTTAAAGTGCACGTTTTCACACACAGTATTTGACATTCAGTCCACTGCTGTGAAATGCAACTCCAAAGCATAAAGCTGCTAAACTAGACCTGTCCCTCCCTCTCCCTCCTCCCGTCTCCCGCCCACCGCGCTCAGTGCTCCACAGCATTAGCACACATTGTTCTCACCAGAACCCTCAGAAAAAAGCCACTTGGCCCCGTCTCCCCCATCTCCCACACGGGAAAACTGAGGCTCAGCAAGAGGAGGCAACTAGCCCCAACATTCCCACAGTCGGGACTTGGCAGAGTGAGCATGCTCATCCTGTCTGTCTGGCTCCTGTTCGACTATATCACAGCCCTTCTCAAATCCCTGCTCGGTGTCTGGGAGCTGGGAGCCCTCGAATAAGCCTTGGTTTTCTCATCCATTAAATGGGGATAATATTGACATAGTTGTTTTTCATGAGTGTCTGTCCCCTGCTGAGCGTTCAAGTTTGTGCCTCTCTTTCTGTGTTGTCCCCCACCCTGTCTGTGATCCTGGTCCCTCTCCTGTCCCCCCGATGGGCACACCCTCTGTCTTTGATGAATGTCCTTAATGGCACATATCCGTGGTGGCGTTTGATTGTGAATGCACTTTAAACTGAAAAGATTATATTCTATTATGACTCTCACTCATTACTTCCCTTATTATTTAATTAAAAATATATGTTTTTATTGATTTTTAGATAGAGAGGAAGGGAGAGGGGGAGATAGAAACATCAATGAGAGAGACACATCCATCAGCTACCTCCTGCACACCCCCTACTGGTGATCGAGCCAGCAAACCAGGCATGTGCCAGACCAGCCAGGCCATTATTTCCCTTTTTTTTCATTCAACACTGTTTCTAAGCTCTGTCCAAGTCTGTAAGCCGAAGTCATTGCTGCTGACATGGTACCTGTCATGATATTGTGTAAGTACTTTATATTGTACTTATTTGCTCCTGCCTCCACCTCATGTCCATTGGCACCGCCACCATGAGGACCCTCATCTGTGTCCCCATTTTGAACTTATGAAAGGATTTCTCTGGGATCCCTGGGTCAAAGGGCGCACACGGAGTGTTCCAAGACTGCTCTCGGCGGTGCTGCCCCAGATTCCACCTTCACCAGCACTGAACACGTCTCCTCGCCTCATCCTCGCCAACACTGGGTATTATCTATTTTTCTCTCTCTGAGCAACTTTGAGGCTCATTGGGACTTGATGCAGGCCTCTCCCACGAGCACCTCAGCTAACTCTGCCTGCTGGGATGGGCAGGAACATGCTTCCTGGGGCCACCTCAGGGGCCTCTTGTTCCTGATCTGCCAAAGTCCTGGCTGTCCCCAGCTCCGCCAGGTCCCACCTCTCAAAGGCACCAAGCTTGGCGCCTATGGCAGTATTTACATGCAACCTGGTGTCCCCTGGGCTGAGACTGGCTTGTGCCTACAGCTTCTCTGCTGTGGCAAAAGTGTTCTCACCCTCGGCTTCAAGGTCCTACATGATCTGACTCCACGTCAGCCCTCTGTCCTCTCCTTCACTCTCCCACCTGCTATAGCTATCCTAGCCTGCCCGTCTCCTCACACACACCAAGCCTGCTGCCTCAGGGCCTTTGCCTCTGCTGTTCTCCTCTGCAGAAATGCTAGATCTGTGCCTACATCCCCCGCACCCCCCAGGTCTCAGCTGAAATATTACTCCTCAGAGAAGCTTGGCCTGGCCCAGGACCTCTGGGTTGGGTCCCTCTTTTGTCTATCTGAGAGGAGCCGGCAACCAAGGTACACGCCCTTGACCAGAATCGAACCTGGGACCCTTCAGTCCACAGATTGATACTCTATCCACTGAGCCAAACCAGCTAGGGCGGGTCCCTCTCTTACACTCTTAGCCCAATGAATGTCTCTTTCTTTGTACTTTTCACATAATTATGCATGCAACTGCACCAGTGGTTCCACATTAAGGGTGCTATTCATTGGATAATGATCTCTCCCACCAAGTTCTAAAAAGGCAGGATCTGTGGTGATTTTGGATCCCTAACACTCAACTCAGTGTCCTAAGTGCATGAAAGAATAAAGCCTGGAAATTCTAATCCCAAGGTGTCCAAATTCCAGAACATCTGGCCAGTTGCATTCCAAGGCATCAGGGAGACCCCAATGCTCTAAAAGTGAGCAGGGCAGGAGCCGTTGTTCAGGGGGTGGCCTCCAGCACCAAGCCTCACCTTTAACTCCATCTCCACCGCCCTGCACACCCTGACAGGCTCCCCACTGCCCACCTGAGACGCTGGCCCTTGTCCCCTTGTCCTGCCAGGGGCTCCTTACCCGTGGGCCTGTTGGCTGGAGGGGTCACCGCTCTCTGTGCAGAACTGGGGCACGGTCGGGGCGCAGACAGCAGGCAGCAGGACCCGCATGGCCCCACTGGGCAGCGTCGGGAGCTCTGAGGAGGTGCTGATGAAGACCTTGACGTTCTCCATCGGGGTGATGGTCCCCAGGTTGACCACGAAGAGGATCCGCTCCAAATCCTCATCCAAAGCCACCTTTCCCAGTGTGCAGGGGGTCGGGACCGCGGAAACCCCCTCTCGCAGGATGTTTCCTAAGCGCCAGGCCTGGAGTCAGCCGCCGTGTACATCCTCGCTAGTGCCCCCTACGCTTGCTGTGCGGTCGGTCTGAGTCGCCCATTTTGCTGATGGGAAACAGGCTCAGCGTAGGGGTGACTCGGCCAATTTCCTCAGCAAATTACTAACTCGTTGAGCCAGGATCTGAACCTGCAGGGGCCTGACGCCAGGCCTGCTGGGATGGGGAGACTTGGCCCCACAAAACCCCAACAGAGGGTCTCGTCTCCATCCGCAGACTCTACCTCCCCACAGGAACCACATTCAAACATGCCCCACCTTGGGATCCATGCTTTTGCTCTGTCCTTTTATCCGTAAGGCCCATCCCTCACCCCTACTTATCCGGTCTTACCCTTCTATCCAACCCCTCCAGGAACCCCTCCATGGACACCCCGCGGCCCCCAATCTGTGCCCCTCTTCCCCTCCTCTGACATTACGCAGACCTCTTTGGGCACAGCCACTTTCCACCCGCTCCCATGGTCACTGCTAGGCACATCCTAGCTATGCTTCCAGGCTGTGAGTGGTCGTATCAGCCTGAGGGCAACTTTGCAGCTTACACATGGTAAGTGCTCGTTAAAATATTCTTGAATGTCTTAATGATCAGATGAACAAACATCACTTCGATCACAAATCCAATGGTGAGGATCTCTTACATCATGTGATACTTGGTCTGGATTCAAGCCCTGTCTCAAACATGTGGAAGGGAGCAAAGGAGGGAAGGAATGGGAGACATCTGTAATACTGTCAACAACAACAATATATATATCATGCTGTGTGACCTTGGACCAGTCACTGACCCTCTCTGAGCCTCTTCATCCTCAGTAGCAATTCGAGGACTTAGTCTGTGCGTGCTCTGCGTAGATGCTCTCTGTTGAGCTTTGGTGTGTATAATTATTAGCTTCATTTTACGGATAATTTTAATATTTTTTCTGAGCTCACACCACTTGCAAGGGCCAGAATAGGGAGTCAGACCCTGGTGTGACTCATTCCACAACCTCTGAGCTCAAATGACATGCTGTTCTGTTCTGCAGAGAGAGCTTTAGAACCTGTGGTTGAAACCCTCTGATCCTCACCACGCTTCCTCGATGAAGAGGAGAGATTGCCTCTGTGTACAGACAGTAAGGCGAGGTTCAGAGAGGGCCAGTGACACACAGGATTCCTGACTCCTGCTGTCATGCTCTCTCGACCCTATGCCATCGCTACCCTTTCAGCCTGCCCAGATCCTGCCAGAGCCCTTCTGCCCTCCTTACCTGTGACAGTTGTGGCTCGAAGGTGGGTGGCATTGAAGTGGCCACTCTCCATCTTGGCTTTGTCCTTGATCTGTACCGTTATAACCCGGTCAGCAATGACCGCCTCAAAGCCGATCACCGTGGTGTACTCATCCAGCGGGTACACGAAGAGGCCTGTTGGAGCAGGACCAAGCATCACGGGGTGCCCCGGCCCCACCCTGCACGCCCCACCCCTGGGAAGGAACCCAAGCTTAGGCTGGTACTCGCTGCCATGCAGTGGTTCTCAACCTTCTGGCCCTTTAAATACAGTTCTTCATGTGGTGACCCAACCATAAAATTATTTTCGTTGGCACTTCATAACTGTAATGGCTACTGTTATGAATCGTCATGTAAATATCTGATATGCAGGATGGCCTTAGGCGACCCCTGTGAAAGGGTCGTTTGACCGCCAAAGGGGTCGCGACCCACAGGTTGAGAACCGCTGATTTAGAGGATGCCAGAGGGGACTTGGGCTGGGACCTCAGGGCTCTGCACTGAGGCCGGGTACTCTGTGAGCACAGGGGCTACTGGAAAAGGGACAGCAGCCCCCCTGTCCCAGCCAACTCTTACTCTGCAGAGATGTGAGGCCAGTGTGGCCAGGGCCTCTGACTTTTCGAGAGAGAGTAAAATTCTGGATTTGATGTGACCTGTTGTGTGGGCCACATAAAACACATGTGCGTGGTGAATTTGCTGTCCGTGGCTCCCAGCAGCTGGGCGTTGGAGGGAGTAAACTAGGGTTTGAATCTGGGCCCTGCCGCCTCTCCTAGCCTGGTGACCTTGGACAAGAAGTTCAGTTTCTCTAAGCCTCACAGCCCCATCTGTAAAATGGGGATAATAGAGCCCCACTCGTAGGGTCATCATGAAAATGTGCCCACATTTTTATGCCTTAGTGCTTCTCAGCCTTTAAGAGCACACAGATCACGGGTGAGGGGCTGTGTCTTGTTAAAATGCAGATTTTGACTCAGGAGTTCTGGGGTGGGGCCTACATCTGCATTTCTAAGCAGCCCCTGAGTGAAGTGGATGGCTCGATGGTGCGGGGACCACAGGGAGGATCAAGGCTGTATCTCATTTAATTTGCCACCAACATGGGGGCAGCACAATGCTGGGCCCCCAGTGAGCCCTTCACAAACCCCTGCTTCCCATCCCCCTGCCCCTCAGTTTTCTCATCTATAAAATGGGGACTGGGCCTTTTTACATGTAGAAAGCCAAGGGCTGTCCCCGAGTTATTCATCATTTAGTCTCCTGGGTCCCCAGTGGGTCCCATTTTAAGCCACCCTCTCTGGGATTCCTTCCACAGGGTCATTGTCTGCCCAGGGGATTTCGGAGGGGACCAACTGCGGGTTGGAGGGAATCCTACCCCCGACAAGTCTCACACAGCGCTCTCCCGGTAGCTCCCTCCCTTCAGTGGAAAGAGAGGAGTTTGGCTTACACATGACTCCTCCAGGCAGACATCTGTCCACAGTCCTGGCTGCCCCACCCAATGATTCATATTCGCAGGCTGTTTCATTCCACACTGTCCTTCTGCACTCCAGACCTCAATTGCTCCTCCCCACGCCCCACCGGACAGGCAAAGGGCCATCCTGCTTCTGAGAAGATAGTGGCTTCTCCAGAGTCCAGGGACCAGAGCCACACCTGGGGCTGGCAACTCCTGGCTTCCACTGAGTCTCGAGGCCCCTCCCACCGTGAGGCTCCCGGAGGAAGTGGAGGCGGGCCCTTTGACGCTGGGGGGCGTGCCTTGTGGGACCTAAATAGCGCTGGGCCAGCTGGCAGGGCTGGGCCAAGCCTGTGCTCAAACCCTGACCCGACTTGCTACCAGCTTTGAGGCCTGCTGTGCGGAAATGGTACCCCATTTTACAGGTGAGGAAACCGAGACTCGGGGAGGGTCCAGGCCTTGCCCAGTGTCCATCGGCCACCCTGGTGGGCGGGGATTCAATATGGAGGAGGGGTCCTTACCCTGGAAAGACTGGGCTTCCAGGTTGCCATAGGTGAGGGATGCAGTCAGACCCAGGGCATAACCACTGACGAAGGAGGTGACGTCAGAGGCAGTGAGGGGCAGGGCTGCCCCTGTCATCTGGTTCATCAGACCGGGCATCCCGCTGGCTCCTCAGCCTTCAGGGTCTGCGGGAGACAGGAAGTGAGGGTGGCCCTCATCCCCCCACCAGCCCAGTTCGCTCACGTTAGACCCCCCAGGCAGTGGGCCCCTCATTCTCTTCCCTTTCCCCAAGCACTTTCCCGTCGGTGACCCCCGATAACGCTGAACTAGCAGAGACGTGGTGGTTCCGTTTCTTCCCATTTCACAGTGGAGAAACTGAGGCCTGAAGACAGGGGACCCGCCTGGATTTGCTCAGTGGGCTGGTGCACAGGTGGGGCTGGAGCCCATCAGAGCCCCGTCCAGCCTGGCGTTCTCCCGGCAGACAATGCCCTCCTGGCCTGACCCACCCTCGGTCAGCCCCAGAGCCTCTGAGCTGCCATAGGTGAGGGATGCAGGTCTGACTGAGCTGAGATGGTTCCTTTGCCAAAGGAGGGGACGGAATAGCTCATCAAGCCCCTCCTCCTCTGACGAAGTCAATCTACCCGCTGTGTCCTCAGTGCTGCTTAAATGAATAAAAGGATGGATGACCGTCCTCATTCCAACAGGAAAGACTTCCGAGCACTTCTTAGGGCGATGTTCCATTCTCTGTTGGGCTCCTGAGACACTCCTGGATGACCACTGCCCCGTGAGGGGTGGGGTGGGAGTGGGAAGTGAAATCAAACAAAGGGCGTGGAATATCCGTTGGAGGGCAGGCTCTCTCTGGGTTTTCGTCTCTGAGCCAGCTGAAGCTACCGTGGGCTGGTAGCCTATTTGCAAGGCTGTTCAATGAGTGCTGACTACTCTGTCTTTTCTCTAAGTCGGAACGCTTCCCTCCAGGCTCTCCTCACGTCCCACCAGGATCCTCGCCCCCTCGGCCACGCCAGCAGTGTCTTTTTAATTATGTTCTCCTTTGTGGCTCCGGCCCAGACAGCTCTCAGCCCTGGCTTATCTCCCGCAGGCTGACTGACAACAGGAGGTAGATAAGGAGCAGGCGGGGAGCTGCTGGATCCCCCAGCTGCCTTCTCTGGGGGTTCTCTGTCCTGGAAGCCTCAGCAAAGCCTGGCTACTGGCAGGGTCAGAACCAGAGGGTGGAGCTCATTTCCTGAATCTCACCTGGGGCCACCCACACTCCCCACCCCTCCTCCCTCCTCCTGCTTCACTCCTGGCCCGAATGCTGATTGGGGAAGGCAGCTGCAGGCAACGAGCACCCAGATGTGGGGCGAACTTGGACTTAAGGTTCAGTCCATCCTGGGGTGGAGCGTTTCCAAGGGCAACTTATCTAACCCAGTCTTCTCCTTCTACCCCTGGTGCCCACCCCAGGCTTCCTGGGGGCGTCCCTGAGCTGGGGAGTGGTGCTTGGATGAGTGATGTTGATAATACAGGGCAAAGGCCCTGGGAACCAGCCCTTTAACAGTATCAGCCCTCTTAGGAAGAGTAAACTTGACATTCTTTGGGGCCTAATTCATGCATATTTTCATCAATCCATCCAGCATTGATAAGCACGGAATACCTTCCAGGCCCGAAATTTGCCACTGGGGACGAAAGACGAGACCGCTCTGTCCTTAGGGAGCTTACAGTCTAGCTGCAGAGGAGATTGGGGAGGGGGGAAGAATTGCAAGAGCAGCTGAAATTTGTTGAACATTAAAAACTTGCCAGGCACATAATTTTTCTCATTTAATCCCCACACCAATCTTAGGTGCAGTATTATCCTTGTAGATGAGGATACTGAGACCTCAAAAGAGATGTGTTTGGTTTACACATGAATTTGGGGTGTCTGAAGGACATCGGGGTACAAGGGGCACTTGTGTAGGGCTTTCTCCTGGGAGGAGCCCAGGGCCATCCCTGTGACAGATGGGGACCAGAGCAAATAATGCTGAACATCCGCCCTCCAACCATCCCAGGCTGGGCCTCCAGTGGGCACTAGACCACAGGAAACACCCGGGAGAGACTTGACAGGGAAGAAACCACCAAGGCTGTGTCTAGGACAGTGTGAAAGTGAGGGCTCAGCCTCAGGAGTGGTGTGAGCGGGTCCGACGTGGTGATAGGGGCTGAATTTAGCGCAGTAGGACCACATGTTCCCCTCCCCACCTTCTTCCCCTAATCTGCCACTCAACCTGTCTTCACCAGGTCCTTGACTTATGTGATGCCGAATCTGGAAAATGGGCTAGAGCAGTGGTTCTCAACCCTCCTAATGCCGCGACCCTTTCATACAGTTCCTCATGTTACGGTGACCCCCAACCATAAAATTATTTTCGTTGCTACTTCATAACTGTAATTTTGCTACTGTTATGAATCGTCATGTAAATATCTGATATGCAGGATGTATTTTCATTGTTACAAATTGAACATCATTAAAGCATAGTGATTAATCACAAAAACAATATGTAATTATATATGTGTTTTCCGATGGTCTTAGGCGACCCCTGTGAAAGGGTCGTTTGACCCCCAAAGGGGTCGCGACCCACAGGTTGAGAACCGCTGGGCTAGAGGGATGAGAGAAAACAGAAAGGGGACTGAATGGGTTGCGAGGAAGGAGGGGTGGGGTCATGGGGATGGAGGGGCCACTAGAAGCTTTAGAGCAGCCACAGGGAGAACTGGGGAGAAAAGAGGATTCTTTAGAAAGGGGTGCCCTGAGTTACAAATTGGGCCCCATTCAATATTTTTTAAGAGTCACAAAGAAAGCTTTGAATGATGTGGGGTGTCGGACTGTGTTTCTTTGAATGAGATGTTGTGCTGAGCCTGAGCCCTGAGGGTGCTACACAGGTTCGAGGAGGTTCCCATGTTAAATACTACGACTGTTTCTTACTGGTCTAGAACTTGTAAATCCCCAATGATCGCTGTCCTTCAGACAGGCCTCTTTGGAGCCAAACTTAGATTTGAATCCTGGTGGATAACTTTCTGCCTCACTCACCGTGAGTCATGTCATCCCTGAATGCCAGTCCCCTCATCTATAAAACTGGGTGAGGGCAGGGGCACTGTGAAGACTAAATCGAATTAAATGTGTAAAGTACCCAGCACAGTGCCTGCCATGTAGTAGGTGCTCAGTAAATATTCACAAAGTGAAATAAATAAAGGAATGAATGTCAGCACCCTTCCTGAACAGGTCAGGTTCTTTCCCATCCTTGAGCCTTTTACAGGATGCTTGTTGCCTTCCTCTACGCTACAAAGTCCTGTTCACCATTCAAGGCCCAGTTCCACTGTCACCTCCTCCATGAAGCCTCCCCTGATCCCCGGTCCATCAGACACGCCCCTCCCTAGGGCTTCCACAGCCTATGAGCGCTTGTCTGTCACATCCCACATCATGAAGCACGGTACCCGCCCTTCTGCAACAGCTAGTCTCCCCTACTGCCCAGTGCGGTGAGCTCTGTGAGAACAGCAGGTCCATCCCCTTCTTCTTGGCCCATATCCCAGCTTCCTGAACAGGGTGCAGCTCAGAGGAGGGACTCTTAATGGGGGCACCTTCCGGGTCCTAATGCTTTACAATCATTGCCAATGCTCATACCCACTTCCACTTTCCAGGTGGGGCAACTGACAGGCAGAGAAGTCCAGAGCCCAGTATTCACAGCTGGTGAGTAGCCGGGTTCGATGAGACAGGAGGCAGCCTTCCTCCAAGCTTGCCCTTGCCCTTCCCCAGTGGCTTCCCCATCTATGCTGAGCATAGGAGAGAGTGATGGAGGGGAGGAGGGAGAACCAGGAGCCTGACGAACTGGGGTTGTGGGTCTTAGGGACACAGGGCTTCCTCATTGCACCCTGAGCTCCCTCAGCCCCTGCCCGCTCTCCAACTCCACAGGCAAGGCCTGTGGTCTGGGGTGCCGTTTGGGCCATGAAACTGCCTGGGGTGCAGTGTTCTAGGTTGAGAACAAAGACTGGATCAGCAGGTACCTGCAGCGGGTGTGGTGTGATCTGATTTAGATGCAATAAAGGACATGCAGGAAAGGGGGCGGGGAAAACAGAGTGCAGGGGCCCTGGTTCTTTAGTCATCATGCTGGCGGAGGGGAATGCCAGCATCAGGGCTTCTGGGGTCAAGGAGAGGGCCCCCCTCCCCGCTTGCCAAGGAATATTTGTGTCAGAAAGAGATTGGAAAGGGGTAAGTTTGAGTGACCCTTGTATCTAGAGTACTGCCTGGGGTCAGAGTCCCTCATGGCCACTTCCTGGTGGCCTTGGGTCAGTTATTTGGCTGGGCTCTGCCACTTGCATATTGTGTGACCTTGAACAAGTAACTTAACCTCTTTGTGCCTTGGCTTCTGCATCTGTAAAATGGGACCAAGATGGTGCCCAGGTCCTAGGAAACTGAGAGGATAAAGGAGAGAATGTCTGCTGAGTGAGTGGGCAGGAGCCGGGCGGATCCTGATGGGCTGAGGGCTTCTCTTCTCTGCCTTCTTCCATGGGCCCTCCCTTCCTGGGCTGCGTGACCCCTGTGCAGGCTGCCAGGTCAGCAGAGCCGGGAAGATCCTTGGTTCTCTTCCGAAGTGCCCATATCAGTAACCCTCTGATTCTGCCCTTGGAGATGGAATCTGCCAATGTTGTCCAAGAGACAGTGTGGCAGACCTCCTCCCTCCACTTAGAAAGCCATTCTGGAGACCTCTCACCCTCATCCTGTCCAGGTCCCCCCAGATTGTATCCACAGAGTTGGGGGGCTGAATGGGCTCAACCAGACCTGAACCAGATGCAGACTGAGCCCACCAAGCAATTCTGGCTCATTTCCTCAGATGCTCTGCCTTCTTACCTTGGGCTAGGGGTCCTCATCCTTTTCCCTGTCGCCTACCCTACTAGAAGTCCATGCTGTCGCACCCCCCACTGGGAGCCTGTCCTCCAAGGACCATTCGCTCACTGACCTGTACCAGCACTCCCATCAAAGTGGGGGCAGGATTTCTGGATCTGATCTGATGATCCAATTGTTCTAGGCTTCTAGAATCCTGAGGTTCTCACATTCTGGTTCCTTCTTTCAAAGCTCTTCCCCTTGGGCCCATACCCAGCTGATAGAGCTAAACAAATCCATGTTCCTGACCCCGCCCCCCGCAGGCACACACCCATGTTCCAGCCAG